CTCTTTGTTTCCTACTCCCTGACAGGCTCCTACACACTCTCAAAGTCCAACAACAGGAACATGGCAAGCTCTTGGAAGAGTTTCTGAACAGTTCATCTTCCTCCACAGGATCAGACACATTCTTCACAAGCATTAGCTGACTGGTCTGTAAAGGAGCAGTCCCTGCCTAGACCATGTTAGCACACTAACAGCTCACAGAACAAGTTTCATATTCAGTGAAAGGAAGAAAGAACAAATGAGAGAACAAATTAGCCTCGAGTTTTAGGGAAATCACATCAGCAAAGTGAGGGCCCGAAAGCATTTCAGGGGACAAAGCCACTGCTATTCACCCGGAGCCCCATGCACTGCAGAACAACTTCCTCTCTCCTTACTCTGTAGTGACAATTGTGCTATCACGATAACAGCAGCAATAGTCATTTTTCAAAATTTAAAATACAAAGATCCTGAGCCTATTTCATCATAAACTTCCAGTCATGCACGCTGACTACCTAATTTCAGAGGTGCAACTTAATTGTGCTTTACTTTCCAGGCTTCAGAGGTGAGACAGCTTCTCTTCGGACTTTATACTAAGTAGAACATAAATGTGAAAATAGCAGCATATCTCATATATGAAGGTCTCTCCAGAGCACTTTCAGAACACAGATGTAGAAGGGTTGTCACATTCTCTTAGACTCATCAATTGAATCAATTGATTCATTAAACACCTATTGATTTTCACAGGGGCACCAGGTCAGGCTCTTGGGCCAGAGGTATAGGGATAGAGCACTGCAGCCATGGTATACATCCAAGGACCAGAGGTAGCCAAATGACAGCTCTGCCTGGTACAGGTCACAGAACAGTAGATGAGGACTCAGTGAATCCCATGGAACAGGGGGGAGGAAGCAGGAGGCAAGTGGGCTGGAAAGCTAAGTAAGGTAGGAGAGAGGAGCATGGACAAGCAACAGGAACTCAGGAGAGCCAGGCAGTCAGGGTCAAAGCCACCCTATGTGTACACACAAGACACTAGGCTAGCCTGAGGGGAAACGAAAATGACAAACTGAAAGGATACTCAGAAGACAAAAGCAAGAGTATGTGGCTGGGTCGGAAGGGAGGAAGGAAAAGGAGGAGGTCTGGGGTACTTAGGATGCAATTTCCACCCTACTTCTGCCTATCCATACCACAGCTACACATCTGGTGCTAAGAAGCAACACAAGTTTTTATGGGTATTTATACCAAAGTAACATTAAGAATTTAAGATAGCGGGGCTAGAGAGATGGCTTAGTGATTAAGAGCACTGACTGGTCTTCCAGAGGACCTGAGTTTAATTCTCAGCACTTACATGGTAGCTAACAACTGTCCTAACTCCAGTTCCAGGGGATCCCACACCCTCTTCTGGTCTCTGTAGGCTTTGCACAACATGGGTGCACTTACATATATGCAGGCAAAACACTGATACACATAAAATAAAATAATTTTTTAATTAAAAAAACAATTTAAGGTAGCTTCAAATAACAATGTGAAGATAAAACATGAAAACATGAAAAGCAAGAGTAAAAAATGAAAACAAACTCAGTGTCAGGTTCATATAAAAGTCCCACCAGAGTGCTGAGTCTGCAAACCTTGGCTCTGAGTTTTCTAGTTACCAACACAAACATGAGGAATTGAGTTTGGATCCCTAGCATGCACATAAATGCTGGGTGTATCTGGCATGGTGGCACACGCCTTTAATCCCAGCACTTGGGAGGGAGGCAAATCTCTACGAGTTCAAGGTCAGCCTGGTGTACATAATGAGTTCCTGGACAGCCAAGGCTACACAACTAAACTCTGTTTCAACAGCCCCCCCCCCCCAAAAAAAAAACAGTGCAGCAGGGTCCTGTGTAATCTGTAATCTCAGCACCCAGAGTGAGAATGGGCAGGACACTGGATCCCTGGAGCTTACTGGATAAGCAGCTTAGCCAAATAAATGAACCCCATGTTTAGGGAGAGACGCAGTCTCAAAAAGTATGGTGGAGAGTGAGAAAGACACCTGGCATCAACTTTGGGCCCCCATGCATACGTGCACATGCATCCACACCACAGGTACACATGGCTACATAAACATGTACATATACACACACCAAAATGGGGAAAAATATCAACCTCCTTGGATTATCAATTTTATTAAAAGGTTTTAGGAAAACATTAAATATTTTCATTTTAATACAAACTATATAAAAATTAGAAATCATTTGCCTTTTAAAGACAAATCAGGTTACCACTTATGAAGTAAAGGTTCAGACATGCTAGCCTTTAACTGAAATATTCAACTTAATTATTGTTACTGGCCTATTAGGGAGGAGAACTACTAATCCCATTTCATAAATAAGGAAGTAGAGTTGGAGAAGGCAGCAGCTAGTTCAACACTACACAGGGAAGCAGGTGGCAGAGCCAGAAATCACATCCAGATCTGCAAAACTCCTAAATGCACCACCGCACAAGACTCTGAAGTACTCTTCTCACTTAGTCACTCAGGACACACTTCTCACCCCATGTAGGGTCACATTTAAGGCTGCTCAGCCTGGACTTCTGTTCGCTTCTGTCTGGAACTGGCATGCTACATTCTCTAGGGTGAACAATGACATAGCATGTTTGCTCAGGAACCTCATCCCCTTCACACTCCATGATGGTACCAGGCATTCTGAATGGGTCACTCAACTTCCTTCCATGAGCAGCTTGACTCCATGTTGGAAGGGAAGACTCGAAGAGCTGAGACCCCACGGCTGCTACAGTGTGGTTCCAGGCAAAACACAAGGGCAGGGAAGGAACAAAACTCAACTGGGATGACTGCAGCTAGTCATGCAGAAACAGGGTAGAGATTTAGGTAGGAAGAGAGGTCTTCTGACACTAAGTGGACACAAATATCTTGTTAATGTAACCCCCATGGCCTGTTCCTCACATAGTTACTAGCTCAAGAAATCTAAAATCTTGAAGTGGACATTCTGGAAAATAATCAGCATACCTTTTAGATGGCATATCCAGTAAACTAGCATACAGCCAGGGAACTGGAGAGCAGTCATTCTCTTGGAATATACTATATTGTGAAAACTTGCTAAAGGTGACAAGTTGGCAATAACAATAGTTAAGATCCACTAAGCACCAGAAATTATGCAAAGCCTTTTATGTACATTATTGTATTGAATTCCCATGAGAACCCAGAGAGGCAGAAACTGTAACTACTCAGTGTTCTGGAAGCGCTAAGAAACTTAAGAGCACTCTTTCTCTTTCAGATGATCCCCGGTGATCATGATTGGGTTTTGTTTAGTGTGGTGCCTTGCCAACCTGGCAATACTTGTCGGGCCAGGCATAAGGAACACACCATAATCTTAGTAACAGAATTAAACACAGCATGAATTTGAGATCACAGCACACAGAGAGGTCCTAGAAGAAGCTGTCTGATGAGAACAGACTGCTCAACACAGTCTGACAGTGCTCAGTTTAGAGAGAGTTTGTGCCTCCTCTCTTCTTTTGTATCAGCTTCCCTATATGTGAAATAAGAGGACTCACAAAATCTTCAAAAGAATTTCAACTATAAGATTCCAGCCCCATGGCTGTCCATGTATGTGGATTTAATCTAAACGCATAATGTGAATTCACCTGCAATTGTCACAACAGAGTCACATGGAGCATGGCAGCTTGTCCTGGCCTCTGTCAATGCACTGTGGCCCACACAAGCACAGTAGGAAAACCTCCATTTCCTGTTGCATTGCCCTCTTGTGGATACAATTTAGTCTCCAGTTACAGAAACTGCCAGTTACACAGCTAGAAATCATGGAGATGGAGTTCAAGTTGACTACGGGAGATGGTGTTCAAGTTAACCAAGGCAAAGATGTTGACAACCAATGAGCTCTTCCCTAAAGCATTCCATGACACTCTCAGGCAGGTCTAAACTCTTGGCACTGCCACGAGACCTTTTCCTGACTCTGCTCTAGAGCTTATTACAGGCAAGAAATATGTAACTATGTACATAACTGTCCCACTGGATTGCCTGTGTGAAGTCCTGCCTTCTGTTACCAACTCCTAGTACTGGGTGTGGCCATAGGTAGTCATGAAGAGTATTTGTGAAAGGAGCGAGAGCATCAATGGTGAAAACGACTGACCTACCTTGTTGTTCTAGGAGGGGTCACCTTCCTCTCTCTTGCATCCAATCCTCAGAATAAGACTACAGAATCAAATTCATGGTTTATAAGTAAGGTTGCTTCACATATGGACAGAAATGGGCAGCAGTGACCACTGATCAAAACCAAGGGGCCATTTTCCTACCTTCCAGTAAGTCAAATAGAACAAGACACAAGAACAAAATCAAGTTAACATGGGAACCAGATCCACTAGAGGAAACTTCTTTGGGTGTCAATGGATGACTAATTCTTTGAGTTCAAGTTTTTCTAGTTGAAAGGGATGTAGTGAAGGGAGTGGCCTGTATGAAGCCAAAAAAGTTGGGAGAAGAGAGTTTCTTTCTCTTGCTTGGTATTTACTGTAGGACTTCTAACTACAGTCAAAGCTGTGCAACTTTCTAGTCAGTCCATCATTTACAGAAGATTCATTACTAAGACTGGGGAAAGATTCTACAGAGATAAAGAGCAAATCATAACAAAATGAAAAAGATAAGGGAAAGGTAGAACAAATGGGCTTGATGACAGCTTCTAAACAGAGAATAGATTAGGAGGCTGATGATATCTTTAGTAAGTTGCCTCTGGTTTCCTACTAAGAAAGAAGACGTTTGCCTTTTGGCTAGGATAGAGCAGTTCACAGTCTCCCTGGACAATATGCAGGAAGGGAAGCACTGAGCTGCTGGAAATAAAGCCATGGCCACCTAACGTGGTATTAGTGAAAGGATCCTTTAAACATATACCACTGGAACCCTTGCATAGAATTAGGGGCTCTAAAATCCATGGCCACATGAGCAGTGCAGTTAGGAACAGACTTTCAGTAGCTCCCCCATTGTTTTAGAAACATTACGTAAATGTAACCTGAAGGCTTCTTACCTCAGTCAACTGGCCCATGGCAGATTCAGAGTATGTGCAGCAATGGCCTGAGAGTAGTGCAGATGACCCCAAATCCCAGCCATGTGCCTTGGTGGCTCTACGACTCTAGCTGATTTACTTCAATAACAGCGGTGATAATAGTGAAAAAATACTTCATTGCAATGGGTCTGAAGACAAAATGGGAAAATGTAGGCAAAAGGCTCCTTTGCACAGCACCATTTATATAAAGGCTCAAGAAAGAAATATTGGTTTCTTTTCCTCTCCTTTTCTCCCTCAAAGGTAGAATTTCCTTCAAATTCCAGGACGTTTAAACTAAGCTCTGTAATATCAGCTTAAAAAGATTGACAAGTATGTAGTCCCTACGTACCTATCTCTACTAAGAGCTAATAAATACTTCATAACTTTTTTTATAGTTTTACGCCAGCCACACACTGCTTCTCAGCAGAGGAAGCAGATGACAAGGCAAAAATATAACTACTCAACTTTCATATGTCTGCCACAGAGAACATGAAAGAAAAGATAGCTTGCTAGAAATGATTATGGACTCTGCTTTGAGAGGCGCTGAGAGGCCTCAGAGCAAGCATCATCCATGTTCAGTGACACGCAGGCTGGTCTGGGGCATGTTTGGGTCAAAGATGGCATATGTGACTGAAGTGCACTTCTGAAAACAGCAGAGGCATCTGTCCCTGCAGTTTGTTCCCAAATTTACTCTGTGTGTGTGTGTGTGTGTGTGTGTGTGTGTGTGTGTGTGTGTTTGCGCATGCATGCAGGAAGCTTTGGACCGTGGGCTTCAATTTAAAATCCCTAAAAATTCATAGTAGAAACATTCTTTTGTATGTCCCTAAAGACACACTACAAAAAGGAGACTAGCTTGAGTTGAAGGAATTTGTGAAAAATTACATATGAGTCAAAGAAAAACCCTCTATTCCCCTAGTGATCCACACCTAGATTGAGAGACAGGTTTAAATGTAGATTAGTCTTAGAGGGAGATTCTGAAACAGGAAGGCGGAAGACAGGTAGTACCACCTTCTTACCTCCCTGGGTAGGTAACAATAACCAAAATAATAATAACCAAATAATTTTTAACCAATAATTTGGGGATTTGAGACAGTTTAGAGGGATTCTGTTTCTTTGGTTAAATGTAAAATGATTTAAAGAATCCCCCACGACAGTATCCTTTTCCTATGAAATCCTTTCCTCTACTTTAAAATAACAAAAGGCTTGCCACATAATGCTGTGACAAGCTCAATCAAGTTGCCATTTAAATTTTATTAGGGTATTAACTTTGTGGTTACTGATAAAGATGGATGCGTGTTTTTAAGTGGAATGCCAGCTTTGAAAGGCCAAAGACAAGGCTATACCTTACCTGTAGAGAGAAAAACAAACACTAAGCACATGGCTTCAGGCTAACACACAGTTTCAGAGTAAGAACTTCCTGGGGTCCTCTAAGCAGCATATGAGGGGTTCCTTCTGCAGGGCTCTGGGGCACCAAAGCCTAAAAGGCCCCAAAGACCCAAGTAACTGTATAGTTTAAATTAGTTATAAATTGGGAGGAGTTAACAAATAAATGACATCATTCAGTTTTAGTAACTCAACCAATGAGGGCAAAAAAAGCTGGTGGCAGAGCCCACTGCTGCCTGTGATGCTGGAGGTCTTCTGTATCTGCAGTGCTTCGAGTCACAGGAGACATGAAGACAACTGAAACTGGCCAATTAGCAATCCTGTATTAATTTCAAGAACTGTATGTAGCTATTGGCTAGTGGACAGTACTGAACAGTGTAATTACTTCCCTAAAGTGACTCCTGGGTCAAAAATCCTGGTTTCATTATTTTAGTGAGACACTAAAACCACAAAGAGCAAAGACTATCACCAACCCCATTATAGGAAGTGCCTGGTGATGCAAGGGGATTCCCATCCCACAGGGAATTCCAGAACGTTCCTCAGCACTGGCTGTGAGGGAATGATAGGGACTAACCCGGCAAATTTCTATGAACTTTACCAAGGTAGGTATTAGATCCAACAAGAGTTTTATTTAGAGGTGTTTTCCTTGTAAACAAAAGGTGAGGCAATAAACACTGTGGCTGAGAAATAGAGGATTCAGGAGAAAAGCCCCTCTTGTCTTTCACCTGGCCTGCGTTATCAAATCAGAAAATAAAATTCAATTCTTAAAGCTGCTGTAGACTCTTGCCTAACTATCCCTTGGTTTTAGTGGGAATGACCCTTAAAAGTCTGGGGCTGAGTTCCCGTCCTCTGGTCAACTTCTCCCAGCCAGGGAAACAATCTTGTAACTACTTTCAAACCTCCCAAAGTTTCTACAAAAGGATCAAGAATTCAAAAGGAATTTTTAACCAATGCCTGCCTAAGGCAGGAAACTGAAATCCAAATGGGACAGAAGCGTGTTAGACAAACAAGGCCAGGACTGCTGGTGAGTTTTTCTTCCTTTGGCCCATTTTTAGAGAACTACAAAGAGGAACAAAAGGAGGTAGATAATTGGTCAGAGGACTTGTCCAGAGCCACCTCTACTTTCCTTTTCTAATTGACTGCTCAGAATAACACCCTCTTCAGGGAATGCTCAAAGGGGAAACGTGCTGGGACAGGAGACCCCTGATGAAATGGCTTCAGAAGCTGCAGATCATTAATTAAGAATATTGAGAGAGAGGTTGAAAGCTTAGCTGAAACGAGTGGGCGGGACAGCTCAGTATCAGCTGCCACCTACACTTAGCAATTAAGCCTTATAAAGGTTCTCAGTGGAAACTTACATCTCCCAGGCATCCTCCTCTTGGTAAGTGAAGTCTCCTGAGGCGACTGAACTCTGAAGACCATAGCATCCACTTTGGAGTGATATTTCTAAAACCTGCTACAAGACACTCCTGAGTCTGAGGACCTCACTGATGTTTTTACCTAAATACCTGTCCAAGGCCTGAAATTGTGACTGTCAAACTTCACTGTGCATAAGATTTACCATAAGGATCAGTAAAAACACAGTTTGCTAAGGCTAACCCAGAAGAGGGAAGGGGGCTGAGAATTTGCATTCCTAACAGGATTGCAGGCTGTGAGGCTGGGATCAAAATTTGATAACCAGTGTTCCATGACAGTGGTTTGCCACCCTAGCCACACATTGAGATCTCTGGGGGGGGGGGGGGGGGGCGGCTTTTTAAAGAACAACTATGTCCAAATTCTATGTCAATTAAGCCAGAGTCTCCTGGGATAAACAGCAGCTTATTTTAAGAGCTTTCTACCTAATTCCAGTGTGCTGCCTGGACTCAGCCCTACTGTGAAGATTGCTTTTAGTCATGAAGGCTATATACACGCTAAACAAATTAATAATTACTTCCTGCTTTAAATAAAGTCCATGCCTTTTACATTCATAAAACAAAAAAGAAAACACAAAATTGCCTTGTTTTATAAGTTAGAGACAAGGAATTCAATTCTGATACCTACGGGATTCCACCTTTCATTGATGGAGAGGTTTCACTGGCTGCTTTTCTTTCTGTTTTTAGAAACCAAAATACAAAGAGCATCTTCACACTGGCAATGCTGCCCTGCACTCCAACACTGCTTGGGAGTCTCTGCAGATTCAAGAATTAGAACGGAAGAATTTGGGAAAATGATAAACCTGCTCATTCTTTTAAAAAAGGGTAGGTATTAAGTGATAAGCTGTGATGTGAGACTTCTACAAGCTGGGCAGAGGTGATGACATCCAAAGTCTTCTGAAGTTTCTCCTCAGTTTATTTTCTGTACATCATGTTCTTTCTTCCTTCTAAATCACTTCTACTTTTCCTCATTTCTACTTATCTACAGTTCTGCTTCTGTCCCACCCTCATCACCTCTACCATAACATAACCAGTGGAGAGGATAAATTATGTTCATGAAATTAAGCTCTAATGGTGCCTGTTCCTAATTTAACAGGCAGGAGGGGCTAAATATTTTTCTTTGGTGGGAAAAAAGTCAGCTAAATTATTTTTGGAAAGTGCCTTCTGATTACCTCTGCCTTGGGCACTGACTGTTAACAGGAAACTTTTGTCCCATCCTCAGTTTCTCAAATCAAGGAAGCGTCAGGCTCTTTGTGTCACCCATCAGTACCTATTGATGAAGAGTAACCACACAGGCCCCTCACCTCCAAATAATATAGCTTAAGGAGGACTCTATCCCTCAGATTCTAAAACTTAACTTACGTTCTTAATTATGAAGGTAATTTTGCCCCCTAATACACAGTTTTCCTCCCACACATGATGTCTGGAAACATTTAGGGCTGCCACAATTGGCATCCAGTGGGCAGACTACAGGAATGTTTGAGTATCCTACATGGCACAAGCTAGCCCCACCACAAAGGATCATCTGGTCAATCCTTTCATTAGTGCCCACATAGAGAAGCCCCATGTAGAAGCTCCCACATAGAGCCAGCTAACATCTCAGCACTAGAGAATTCAGGATCAAAGGCTAGGAGAAAGAAGGAAAAAGAGGAGCAAATTGTCCAAAGTCTATTGAGTATAGAGCTTGGGCTACATCTTCTCAATGCCTAGAGCAAAGAAAGGACCTTAAAACCTTTGCCTTGACAGATGTCGTCAGTGAAGGTTTTCGTGGGGACACAGTATAGTACAGCAGGAAAAACAATTGCATCTTGTGACTCATCCATCACCTCTCAACTGACAGACTACCCCTACTCTATAAAGCATTTTTACATAACGTCACTTTTAACAAGGCCTAAATCAATGAAGAGAGGAAAAAAGAGGGAAAGGAGAAAATCTGTAAAATAATACAGTAGATGGGGTTGGGGATTAAGCTCAGTACAAAGGCCCTGGGTTCAGTCCTCAGCTCAAAAAAAAAAAAGAAAAAAAAGAAAAAAATAACAAAAATAGTATAGTAGTTATAACAGATATTTTAGAAACAGATGATACAGATTTTTACTTTTGTAAAAATTAAAAATGATAGCATTTCCCTTGCTCTTGAGGGACCACTGACCATTTATTTTGAATAATTTGTATAGAGATCTTTGTATTGAGATAGATGGGGTTATTACCGAAGGATTCTTGCATGAGTCATTAATCTCACAATAAGACCATGGTATTAGATGCATTTCCTCTTGCTATTCAAGTCACAGAAAAATTATACTGATTAACTGAACTGCAAATATCAAA